GCATAAGGGATGGGACACACTTAGTAAAACAATTTAAGATTCCATCACCTAACATTTAAGACTTATCACTTATGACAGATGGAACATGGAAATATCATTGCTTATGTTATGAAATCATTCAAGACTTATGATTTAACATTTAAAATTTAAGAAGATGACCAACTTCCAACTTGAGGAGTGCTAATAAATGATAATGAATGGAATAAGGAGTGCGCATCCAAAAGTGACATATCAATTTCCCGCTATTTGAAAATTATTCAAAATATCCTATATTGGGTATTTATTCCTGAATATTTGTTTTTCTTTTAATGGATACTGAACCGTGCCTCAAAAATACACTAGAATGTCGCAGAGTTGCCTCCATATTTGTCAAAAGATCCAAGGAGTGAGCCAGTTTTTGTTAGGCAAGGAATAGTGATTATTCTCGAAATGATTTGGAGATATGATGGATGTGGGTATCATTTTAGGGATATAGATATAAATTAATAGAATAATATCAGAACATGAAATTTTGAATTCACACTTAAACTCTGAAAATCTGGTTCTGTATCAGGACCTATATTTCAGTTATAACAGAAGACATGTTCCACCCAAGAATTTTTTTATTCGTCCATTCCTGTCGCAGGCTGTATCATTCTTAATAATTGTAGAAAATGTTAAGATAGATTCGTTCAAGAAATCAAAGAATGTTCATGGACTTCTTCCACACCCTTGATTTGATTCCACACTCACATTCAGAGAAACATGTTGTTCTGAATTGTATTACAGTCCGTTTGGAATGTTGTTATTTGTTTTTGTTACTAAGTTATATAGATACTACTTGGTTAAAAAGCGAATTGATTCAAAATGGAGCAGTTCATCCCGTAATGAATACTTTGAACAAAAGATAATCTGCCACTTGATTCAAATTCCATCTTCGTACGTATTGTGAAAAAATATTTCAAATAGGAAGACTTGCGCCATCTATCCGAAGAACAAGGAACTGTACTAGTCCGCATCGCTCTAGAATACAGAAATCTGCCAATGGTGCGCTAGGAGTACGTATGCAATAATTTAGTTATATCTACTGAAAACCAGGATGCGCTCTTTTCCTTTTACTTCTGCACAGTATTTTCTTCAAAAAATACGGATTGCCGATGAGTGAACTTTGCTGGGTCAAGGTATCAAAGAATAAAAAATACATCACATCAATCAATTCGAAAACAAATTTATATTATAAATATCAAATAATATCGCAGCTGGCAACAATTCTTCATAGATATATCATTTAATATACAATTTATCAACTCTGGCGTTATTTTATCAAGTCGATATAAATCATTTATTTCAATTCATTTATGAGTCTATCACCCTTGAAGTGATGTAATGTTATAGTAAGCTGACAGACGAAAAATAAAATCGATGAGAACCTCCAAAAGAGATGATATAGTGGTAAGTACCAGTATGATATGTGTCAGAACCGCATTTCTATCAGAATTTTGCTGTTGATTGCGGAACTGCAAGGAATTATTTTCAGCTAGATAATCTGTAGATCAAGTAGATTATATATCGTCCAATGAAATTTTTTGTCACACATTTCTTTGTTTTTCAATATTTGTTATAGTTTCATATGTATCAATTTTTAGAAATGTTTGTAGTAACTCTTGCATTGAAAGTTCTAGTGATAATATAGTTGAATATATACATGCATATTCATATCATTTGTGGATTTTGAAATTTCGAGCCATCCAAAGCACACTGGATTTTTTTATATTTTTGGTGATATATCGTAAATTTATTTTGGCTATAGCATTGCAGCATAAATTTTCTGATAGGAAATAAAATTCTACGTCGGGTGGTGTGAATATTTCGCATAACTGATTCAATTGAAATGAAATGAAAAAGAGAACGAAAATTGAAAACACCCTGTATAACATTTTGGAACTCAATCAAGGGCTCCTGATGATAAATCATCTGAGTGGATCTTACCTAAGTGATATTAAAATAATACTCTATATATTCCTTTCTGAGGAATCTCCTGAAACAGTTCGAAATTTATTTTTAATTAGGTACCAACATTTATATAAGGAAAAATTGATTATACAATTTTTCAAATGAAACATCCTGTGAATCATTCGATTTTTTGAATCTCTATGGAAAGCTGAATTCGAAAATATATTACACATAGAGTTTGTATACAGTGCGCTCGTTGAATTAAGTGCTTTTGTAAATTTATTGTGGATAGATTCGATGAGAATTGAAGGAATAATTTTTTGAATGAACGCTGAATTTACCGTAGAATTTCATTTTCATTCGTGCTTTCTTAAAATTCAATCAATACATGAAGAATGATTCGTTGTAGGAGAAATTACGTCATCGTTTTTTTTATGGACGCCCTATATACAAACCCCATGTGTGATTCATTTATGAATCCAGCTTCTCATAGAGATAACAAAATTCATTAATATATAGGATGTTCCGTTTGAAAAATGTGTCGCGGACGTGATAAAACATACGTGTATCATCCTCCTCATGAATGTGTCAAATTGAAAACAAAAAGAAGAGTTCTCAGAAATAAATAATTTGGAAGAGAATGAATTTTTCCACTACTTTACTAGAGTATCGAATTTATTGGGTACACTGTATACAATCCATATCGTAATACATTTTTGTATTCATCTTCTCATGCCCAGCGAGCACAAACATCCCTGGGATGTTTTGGGATGTTTTGGAAATGTTGGCATGGAGATGTTATTTTGAGACGTAATATGCACTGACCAAAGAGGTCTTTGAAGGATATTGAAGTATTGTTTTTGTTCTTCTGTAGCATTTCTTCGTTTGCCTACTGAGAGGTATCCCTGGGATGTTTTGGGATGTTTTAGAAATGTAGGCATGAGGATGTTTTTTCGAGGCGTAATATGCACTTCCCAAAGAGGTCTTAGAAGGATATTGAAAGTATCATTTTTGTTCTTTTGTGCCCTTTCTTTGTTTGCCCCACCACAACGTCTCATGCTTACGTCACAATACGATGAATTCTGATTTGTTTTCGATTTTGTTCTTCTTGTTCGCAATTGGCATTCGCGTTTGCAGCGTGTCACGTTTGCATCACGCTGCTAACGAACAGAAAGGAATTTGGTGAAGTTTATTGTGTTAGAAGACTTATTTAGTTTGTAATAATGACCATCAGATGCAAGATGTGTTGTTCGGTGCCTCAGTGTAATCAATATATAAAAGTACGAATTCATCAATACACAGCTTCTCCGCAGTTGCGAAATTATGCATTGTGGAGAACATTTCAAAAATTGGGATACCTATTTCCAATTATATGTCTGTGTGTAGTAAGCACTACTCAGAAACCGATTAAGAAGGTAATTTCATATCAAGAAAATAATTTTATGTTCAATCTATTTTTAATGCATTTTTTAATTCAAGGGAAATGGAATCCTAATGCAAAAGTTCATTTTGACAAAAGGCTTCAGAAAAGTACCTCGAAAATGTTTTTTTTACAGCGATTCAATGTGCACAAGACGCGTTGAAAATATTCTGTTGTGTCCATGAAAAGGCTTTAAAAAGAACTAGGGAGAAGGTAGTTTTGTGACATATCAAGGACATCTCGATAATTGCCGCCTGCGACGGACATTGGCTGTTCTATAATAGTTCTATTCATGTGTGAACAGAACATCGCAGTGGAGGTTCAATGTCTCGAAATCTCGTACTTTTAACATCTCTGAGATGTTTTTGTGCTCGCTGGGTGGTGATTTCAATATTTGAGTGATATAATTCAAACGTGGATCACTATGTATATATAACTCTTCTTATCAATATGGAGAATTGAAAATAAGAATCGACCTGTTTCAGCAGATTCTCCAGAAATGGATAATTTGGCTGAGAATTGATGTATTCAGTACTTTACGAAAGCACTGTATACAGAGTGTAATTCAAGTTATGGTTGAAAATATAGGATATGGTTCATCAGTTCATTTTAAGAAGAAAAATTCATGTGAACGTATGCACTAACCTCTTAACTTCCGAGCTAGGGGGTGTTAAAATGTTAAGAAAATAATTGTTTGCTTATTATAACTTCAATAATGTTCTAGATATTTTCATGAAATTTGGCATGCGTCAAAAAATGCCTATTGGTGCTTAGTAGGTTGCATGTCAAATTTCAAGAAAATATCTAGAGCACTATGGATGTTATGACAAGAAAACCAAATTTTTATCAACATTTTAACACCCTATAGCTCAAAAGTTGAGGGGTTTACGGCATATGTTCATATTATGAACTTTTTCTTCTCAAAATTACACCATGTATACAAACACAAATTTTGTACAACAGACGATGAAGAGGTAGGTGAAAAGGCGACTGATTATTCGGTCGAAGGGAAGAATATACGAATTTGTAGGAACGTTATTACGACCTCCAGTAAACGTCAATATAAGACGTCATGAAATATACGTCATTTTAAGGTCATATTTTGGTTGAAAGATGTCGTGGACCAAAAATGACGTAAAATAGACGTATTTTCAGGTAACTCTCTTACTAGGGATACTATTTCCGCCATACAGACATTTCAGTTAGTCTCTGCATCTGTCGATACTATTTAAAATTCCATTCGAAAAACAGAGTGGATAACAGCGTTTTGAAATTATTCCAGAAACAGCACCTCTAGCTTTAGCTTCAAACAACATTTCAGGTTGATATCTCTTTTGGTCCTTCATGGACCTCTTAGTTTACCTATCTAGATACAACTTATTCCATCCCTTCTGGAGGTTTGTCAATCGATTATTCTCGTGCAGAACGCGTCTTTGCTAATTCCGTTCAGAAATGTGCAGAAAACTAGTCTTCGTTTATATTTTCTTTATCGATAAGTACCTGAGATGTACCCAATTCAATCCCGCGGGGAATAACTTCATGCTTTCAAAGCATTCGTTTGAAATAATCTCAGAAGTCGAAGAATGTACAGCGATTGCTCCTAATCGATTCGGATTCAGTATAAAATGCTAGTGAGTGTATTATCGGCCTAAACAAAGTCTTTCGGTTTCCGCAGGGAGAGTTTTTGAACTGATTCGTCCAGCATGGGCTTGGGTTCCACTGGACTGGTGGGGGAGCTGCCAGGGGGTGATAGTTTTTCACTACTCGTTGATGCGACCTAGAAAAAAAACGAAAATCAACCCAGTTCATAATAACAATGGGCGTGTACACCTTAGTAGAACTTTTAACTCAAACCATGTTTATAATGATCCTTTTATACATAAATAATGATTGACTACATAATAATTCGATCGAAAAATTAACTGGAATGTTTTATTATTGGACATAAATAAAAGTACCTTCTGAAATCGGACCCTCTTATGACGTAGAAACCTCATCTCGCCATAGTTAAAAGAAAATACCATGCAAACGCCCGACGGAGACTGAGGCAACTAATATATTAATTCTTTCAACTGTGATCTCGCGCTAATTCACTCTGTCAGAAATCATGTATCATTCATCTCTGTCTGGAATAGTCTTGTTTCAGTATTAGCCTTGATTATGTGAATACTCACTGGTATTAGCGTTTTTACGTCACATCATCGCCTCGTTTTCAGAGGTCCGAAAAATCGGGGATTTCAATAATTTTTTATAAGAAGTAGGGAGCTCACAGCAAGAAACGGTTTGCGGTGGTGAGCTAGTTTGGGTGAGGTCTATCGAATTATGAAATACAAATTTTTTGTGATATAAGCCCATTGTCTTACGAATTGAATCAAGAATTGGATTGTTTGCACCTATCTGATCAATTTAATAAAGCTTCAGAGTACAAATACTGTATGTAGGTTAATCGGGGAGGTGGTACATTCATTATTCCAAATCTTCTGGGATTTTATCTCCTCGTTTCCATGAAATAAAAATATGAATATTATTTCAATATACGTGTAGTAAGGACAAATCAGATGATTTGCCCCAAAATGTCGCTTCTTTTAAATAATTTCTCTATCAGAGAGCCTAAAAGAGAAATTTACTAGCTTGTCAGTGACAATTCGTATTGAAAAAGATTTGGAGAAGAGAAATAAAGGTATATAGAAAAAATATCAGATTTTGACTCAGCTTTAGACGTTTTGGGAACGAATCTACTCTCGTTTTCAACATAAAAAATGGATGTTTGAATAGCAAATTCGTATTCGTCTTGACCCTTCTCAGTTCTCAGTGACAATTGGTGACGTTGGCAATCAAATGAGTAACACGATGTTTTCATTAATTAATCTTGAATTCACCATTTCTATTATCAGATTTCAGTAGCGAATACCATGTTCTATCTATATCAACTAAACAGGAAGCAATGCTATTGTCTCCGTTCAGAAGAATGCAAGCAGATTCCTTGATTTTTCTCTTCTGGTTGTTATCTTCTGATAGGAAAATTCTTTGAACGCAGTGACATTTCGGGGCAAATCATGTGATTTGTCCTTACTACACGCATATTGAAATAATATTCATATTTTTATTTTATAGAAACGAGGCGGGAAAATCCCAAAAAATCTGGAATAATGAATTCAGAGTTCAGTTTGTTCACTCCTGATTTTTCCAATTCAGGAGTTCTGTCTTTTTTATTCTTGACTAACATTCATAAGCAACTTTCATAACTAGTTTGAGTTAAAATTCAACTCATTTTCCATTTGGTAATAATTCGAAGTATAAGTTGAAGTTTTGAAGTTTCGACAATTATTCCCGATGGTAAAATGGACTTCTTCATTTGCTTCAATTATGGAAATGTTTGTATCAATCGATCGATGGATTCCCATCATGATGATGGATAATTCTTGCAATAAAATTGCGGAGTCTGAGTTTGATCAGAGAGTTATACTATGGTTCATTAATAGCATGGCGTACCTAAGCACACTGTGATCATTACTGTACTGATTTACGCTTTAAAGTTTGGTTATCCAACCGGAGGGTCTCGTTAATGATTTTCTCTATTTTGCGTCTTGAATGAACTCATTATGACACCCAAATGCGTATCGAAACAGCTTTTATTAGGACACGCTAAATTTCTTTTTTCGAAGTTGGTAATGGTAATATCCAACGTCAACGTCCCAGATAGCACATGACGTCCCCCGCCCCCAGACTCTAATTTGGACGTCCTGAGGACGTACGACGCCAAATGTTTCAAGAACATACGACGTGGACGTCCTGGGGGCGGACATTTCAGGTTGAAATCAATATTTATATCATCAATTCAATTATATTGCGTTAATTATTATCAATCTCACAGATTCTATGATTTTTCGTCATAACTCAGATGAATACATAATCATATCTAAATTTGCTTGATGATGTAAAATGAAACATTATTTTCTCCGTTCCTGAGATTTATTACGCTGAGTGCGAGTGAAAGTGATTTTTCCAGGTTAGGTGTAGGTACGTATCCCAACACATTCCTAACTTTGAGATAGGTACGTCGAAAAATAATTTTCTCATTTCATTTTCGATATTGTTGAATATACCTGTAACGATTGATGAATGAAAATAATAATCAGAGAATTTTGCCTTCAGTTAATGCTTTTTAATATCAAAATGCCCTCAGCACTTTCAAATATAGAGAGTGGAACTCAAAATATGGTGTCATAAAAAATGCCACAAGCTGTTTATTTGCTCATAATTCTTCATCGAACTTCTATATTGTCGATAATTTAGTAAAACAAAAAATGTTTCATTCAAGTACCAAAATGGTCCAGTTCAGACCTGGAACGGACCAAAATCGGACGTCCTATGTACCTCTGGTTTTGTAACATCGTATGTCCTATGGACGTCCTAAAGACATCCGTCGTATTAAAAATGGACGTCCCGAATATTCGAAGCGTTTGTCTTTAGGACGTCCATACGACATACTTGTGCTATCTGGGGTCCAAAGTCCAACATCAAACTGTCAGATACACTTGCGTCTATACCTTTTCAACTTCAATTTCGGAATCGGTAAGTTATATTTCGGAAAAAGTAATCTCGATTTCGGAATTGGCTAGTTCGATTTCAGAAATGGTAAACTCAATTTCAGAATCGGTGAGATGAATTTCAGAGAAAGTCCATTCATTTTCAGAAATGGTAAGTTGTATTTCAGAATTGGTAGGTTCAATTTCAGAAGAAAAATCCTTATATTTTTTTGGAATGTTTCCAATTGCATGTGAGATTAACAAACCATATTTACAATATTCAACATTTTGAAAACAATTCAATAACATAATTATAATCTCTATTTAATCCACAGATGTCTTCCATCCGAATCGCAGAAGGATAGTAGCATTGCACTTGATCATAAAAATGCAAATACATTTGAGGTGTTATATCGTTTTCATTGAATGATCTGCACATTCTTCAAGACATAGACATCTGAATTTTATCTGGTAGAGCAAATCTGTTCGGATCCCCAGCTATGACCCTTTGGCGATGCTCTTGCAAAAAGCTCTTCACTTCCGACTTGGAGGCACTCCATATATGTTCAATCGGATTCAACATGGGGCTGTAAGGTGCCAATCTGCAAAATATAACATCTTGAAATTCTTCCTTCATGCATATCTCTTCTATTCTTGAATGTGCAGGTGCATTATCCAGAACTACCCCTATGGTATCTGCAGGATGTCCATTTCAAACGCAAATTCTCAAACACCGTTCCATCCACTGTAAACAATCTTCTCTTTTGCAATTGAAAACAGCTATAAGGATTCATCTTCTGAAATTGAACCTACCAATTCCGAAATAGAACTTACCATTTCTGAAATTGAATGGACTTTTTCTGAAATTCATTTCACCGATTCTGAAATTGAGTTTATCATTTCTGAAATCGAACTAACCAATTCTGAAATCGAGATTACTTTTTCTGAAATACTCACCGATTCCGAAATTGAAGTTGAAAAGGTATAGAAATAATGGAAAGTTCTATACCTAGTATATACCTTTTCAACTTCAATTTCGGAATCGGTGAGTTATATTTCGGAAAAAGTAATCTCGATTTCAGAATTTGTTAGTTCGATTTCAGAAATGGTGAACTCAATTTCAGAATCGGTGAGATGAATTTCAGAAAAAGTCCATTCAATTTCAGAAATGGTAAGTTGTATTTCAGAATTGGTAGGTTCATTTTCAGAAGAAAAATCCTTATATTTGTTTGAAATGTTTCCAATTGCATGTGAGATCAACAAACCATATTTACAATATTCAACATTTCGAAAACAATTCAATAACATAATTATAATCTCAATTTAATCCACAGATGTCTTCCATTCGAATCGCAGAAAGATAGTAGCGTTGCACTTAATCATAAAAATGCAAATACATTTGAGGTGTTATATCATTTTCATTGAATGATCTGCACATTCTTCAAGACATCGCAGTCTGAATTCTATCTGGTTGAGCAATCTGTTCGGATCTCCAGCTATGACCCTTTGGCGATGCTCTTGCAAAAAGCTCTTCACTTCCGACTTGAAGGCACTCCAAATATGTTCAATCGGATTCAATATAGGGCTGTAAGGTGCCAATCTGCAGAATATAACATCTTGAAATTCTTCCTTCATGCATATCTCTTCTATTCTTGAATGTGCAGGTGCATTATCCAGAACTACCCCTATGGTATCTGCAGGATGTCCATTTCAAACGCAAACTCTCAAACACCGTTCCATCCACTGTAAACAATCTTTTCTTTTGCAATTGAAAACAGCTATAAGGATTCATCTTCTGAAATTGAACCTACCAATTCCGAAATACAACTTACCATTTCTGAAATTGAATGGACTTTTTCTGAAATTCATTTCACCGATTCTGAAATTGAGTTTATCATTTCTGAAATCGAACTAAGCAATTCCGAAATCGAGATTACTTTTTCCGAAATATAACTCACCGATTCCGAAATCGAAGTTGAAAAGGTATAGAAATAATGGAAAGTTCTATACCTAGTATATACCTTTTCAACTTCAATTTCGGAATCGGTGAGTCATATTTCGGAAAAAGTAATCTCGATTTCAGAATTGGTTAGTTCGATTTCAGAAATAGTAAACGAAATTTCAGAATCGGTGAGATAAATTTCAGAAAAAGTCCATTCAATTTCAGAAATGGTAAGTTTCATTTCAGAATTGGTAGGTTCAATTTCAGAAGATGAATCCTTATATATGATTGAAATGTTCTCAATTGCGAAAGAGAAGATTGTTTAATGGACATCCTGCAGATACCATAGTGGTAGTTCTGGATAATGCACCTGCACATTCAAAAATAGAAGAGATATGCATGGAGGAATGTTATATTTTGCAGATTGGCACCTTATAGCCCTTTGTTGAATTCGATTGAACATATATGGAGTATGGAGTGCGTTCAAGTCAGAGGTGAAGAGCTTTTTCAAGAGCATCGCCAAAGGGTCATAGCTGGCGATCCGAACAGATTGCTCAACCAGATAGAATTCAGACTCCGATGTCTTGAAGAATGTGCAGATCATTCAATGAAAATGATAACACCTCAAATGTGTTTGCATTCTTATAATCATGTGCAACGCTACTATATCCTTCTGCGATTCGGATGGAAGACATCTGTGGATTAAATTGAGATTATAATTATGTTATTGAATTGTTTTTGAACAGTTAAAAAATATTGTAATATGGTTTGTTAATCACACATGCAATTGGAAATATTTCAAACAAACAAAAGGATTTATTTTCTGAAATTGAACCTACAAATTCTGAAATACAACTTACCATTTCTGATATTGAATGGACTTTGTCTGAAATTCAACTCACCGATTCTGAAATTGAGTTTACCATTTCTGAAATCGAAGTAACCAATTCCGAAATCGAGATTACTTTTTCCGAAATATATGTTACCGATTCCGAAATTGAAGTTGAAAAGGTATAGTTAGGAAAAATATCACCCACCTGCGGTACACCACGAATTCGGGCCCTCGTTTTCCGTTTCTTCAGAATAATGGGCCCTATACCAGTGCCTTCGGTCCTTTGCGATACGTTGGTGACCTTTTCCGAGGTCGCGTTTGTGGAAGACATGTTTCTCGAGAAAGATTCGTTGGGCGATTGGGAACTAGAACTGCATTCAGGCGACAGTCGCCTCACCAGTTCCGAAACCATCTCTTCTATCCTGTTCATTTTTTGGTTCAGCTTCTGGATCTCCAGTTTCACGTCTACCTGTGGACATAGTTGGAACTGTTCAGTTGGATATCCAGGGTAAATTCACAATGTTTGCAGATGACACCACAATCCTATGGCACGATAAATCAATAGCCGATCTATTCGATCACATCAGTGTGGATGTAATAAGGGTGAAAGAGTGGTGTGATGCAAATCTCCTATCATTCAATGTCAACAAAACGAACATCGTATCATTCAGATGTGACATCAGGGAGGTTTCATTAGATGATGGAATAATTAGCAATGCCGCGGAAAATAAGTTCTTGGGATTATTTATTGATGAAAAGTTAAGATTCGAAAGCCACATTAACAAGTTGTGTAAAAGTTTAGCATCGGGTTGCTTTGCTGTACGTAGTGTTTCTCACGAATTGGATATTGCTGCTGCTAGGCAGGTTTATTTTTCATTAGTAGAGTCACATCTACGCTATGGCATTTGCTTTTGGGGTATATGTTCACAGCAACTGTTTGAAATGGTCTTTACCCTTCAAAAAAGAGCCATTAGATATTTATGTAAAGCCAAATGCCGCGATTCATGTAGACCATTGTTTTTAGAGCAAAGGATTTTAACACTGGCAGGTCTTTTTATTTTAGAGACAGTATGTCTAATTCACAAGAAATACAAAAATGATATAAACAACTCGTCAGTATTATATAATACACGTTTAAGACACCATATTGCACTCCCCATCCCTACGTCAGCTCTTACTCAAAATTCTCTTATTTACAAGAGCAGAAAATTGTTCAATCACCTACCCAGCAATTTAAAAGAAATACAGAGTGTATCCAGATTCAGAAAAGAAGTGAAAGAGTTCTTGGTTGTAAGGGCCTATTATACTACAGAGGAATTTTACGAAGATTAATTTAGCTGAGTTTTTATTAATCTGATCAAGTAGGATACAACTTTTTGGACTTTCCATTTTAGTTTAAATCATTAGCTGTTAATGTATTTTACCTGACCTCACCAATATTCATACTAAATTTACATTTTACGCCCATTACACACTGTGCAATGTATATACATATATATTTTTTTTAATGATGTGTCGACAAACATTTTTTTTTATTATTTTATTTTTTATTTTATTATTTTTATTTGTATTATTGATTGACTATCTTGTGTATTGTCCAAAAACTGATTTCAACATTTGTGTGTATATTGGAACTATAAACTTTTAAATTTAAATTTAGGATTCCAGACTTTGTCAATAAGATGTATCTATCTTCAGACAATAAAGTATTTTGATGATGATGATGATGTTGGAAGAAGCTGTTGTAGCGAAACACCCTCCGTTGCCATCTTTTTAATATGTCGTGTCGTGTGAAAATGATTCGCTCAGTATAGGGTTTTATTTATCGGTCGTACCTTTTTGTACCATCTCCGTTTGCGAAGTGTAGTGCGATAAAAATTAGCTGCCTCCGCCGCGCGGATGGGTTTTTGCGCTGTGTTTTGCGAGTTATTCGGTCGTTAAAAACCCACTTTTTTCGCTTTTCATTGGATATCAAGGCTTTTACCATCAAAACTTCAAAGAGAAAAGTAATCGGCTTTGTATTATGCCTAACTGATTCTTCAGCCAAAATAATTGCAAGCTAAATTGAAAGTGCCCTTGGTTTGAAGAAGGATTCTTTTCGTTGGAAAGATATCCTTTGTGCCTGCATTGTCTTTTAGGTAGGTGGAGCTTTTCTTTAGACGATATTTTATTATTATGCCTCAAATGACCTGTGCAGTTTTTCTGTATGTGTATATAAATGTATTATGATTTTTACCTACAGGGCGCTAAAGATTTTGCATTCGTGTTAACTTATTTTCTTGCTGAGCTTGAATTGTGATTATATACAAGTTAGGTTAGATCTTCATTTTGCATTGTCTTTTAGCTCAAGAATTATATCTCAACATCACGAAACTAACGCCGTGTGGCCGGCAGGAACCAAGAAAACGGACTATCCTAATCTGGTGTTTTTCTGACTTCTGAGACCACCACGCCCCGATTTCCCCTGAATTGAAGAGTCTCGTTACACTGTTGATTATCACGATGACAATCCTCAAGGTTCTCACATTACTTTTGAATTTTTCTGAGAATTCTGGGTCATAGGTACAGGGCGATTGTTTATATTTTATAATTATATAAATGAGGTTCTTTTATGGGCATTCAGAATCTAGTACTAGAATATGCAAAGAATCATCGTGCACCTAAACATTTTACATGAACTGGTATTTTTTCATGGAAAGCTCTTTATTTCATTATCCTAATCGATAGAGCTATTCCTTTTCATTCCAAATATACAGGGTGTCTGTAAAAGGTTGGGACATTGCTCGGCTGTGGACTCCTGGGATAAAAACGAGTTGATTTAGGCCAACTTACCTATATCCAAAATCGTCTCGTTGGATTGGTACAAGGCGTTGAAGTTTTTTTGGGAAAAAATAATTTTACTCATAAAAAGAATAGGCTGAGATCGATTTTCATAATTTTTGACATGGCATGTTCTGTGACTGTGAGTCACGTTTTGAGATGTATTTGATCTTCATCAGTGACCTGCAAGTGTTACAAACAACCATGTTGCCGTACAAATTTGGTGATAACTTTTCAGAAATCGGATTGAAAACTTCAATTTTTTTTTCCAGGAAGATATTTCTTTCAGAAATATTTTTGTATCGTGTTAATTTCTGATGTCTCGAGGTTCATTTGCGAATAAATAATTTGTGATCTGAGGCATCTTATAAATTTTTTAGAAAAATAATTTTGTTGGGATATGGCTTGACTGTAGACTCCTGGGATGAAAATAAGTTGATTTTAGACAACTCACCTATATTCAAAATCGTTCCGTTGAGTTGGTACAAGGCGTTAAAGTGCTCACCTTAGGTCCTGAATAATTATCGCTAAATTTGTAACGCGAGATTTCTCGTAGAGCCCGCGAGAACCAGCAACATATCAGTTTGTTCACAATAAGAATACATTGTAGCCATGATCAATAAACAGTCCGACTAATTAGATTAATTTCCCAAAATATCTTTTTGGAAAAAATACTGGAAGTTTCCAGGCTGACCTCTGAAAAGTTATCAACAAATTTGTACGGCAACATGGTTGTTTGAAACACTTGCAGGTCACTGATGATGATCAAAAATATCTCAAAACGTGACTTACAGTCACAGATCATGCCATGCCAAAAATTATAAAAATCGATCTCAGATTACTCTTTTTATGAGCAAAATATTTTTTTTCCTAAAAACCTTCAACGCCTTGTACCAACGCAACGAGACGATATTGGATATAGGTAAGTTGGCCTAAATCAACTTGTTTTTATCCCAGGAGTCCACAGCTGAGCCATGTCCCAACCTTCTACAGACACCCTGCATATACTTCAATTGTGGTTATATCTTCGTCAGTTTTCCTCAGTTCTATACCAAAAAATAGTTATTTATTTATCTAGAGCGCGAAATGCTACTTTGGTGATCGAGATCTGATTTTTTTAACGAGGCGTAGCGAGACACTTCAGTGGTTCCAATCATCCCCTATCGATGTGTCTACCATCTGTAATAACTGTGATACAGAACGTAATCTTGATTTTGGCAAAATCTCCATCTATGACCTGGTCATAATATTTGTACCACTGTGTATAATCGATTCATACTTGATAGGTATATTAAACTCATATTCAACATCAAAACTGAATAGAAATCAAATTTAGAATTCAGATCCATCTTCAGGCAAAACAGAAAACTTCTTCTTTTTTTAACAGTGCGCTTCCAATTTTAAAAATAGAATTTCTATTCAACTGGTAATTTTCAAAATCCAATTTCATTACAAAAAATAACCAGTCCTCCAAATTTCAACTTAATTGGGGCCGAATGAGGATGGATTTCGTTCCATAGAATAATTCATCAATTATTTTAGATACTTTCGAGTTCTCATTTCATTGTCAAACACACAAATGTCAAATTGGATGCCCGCTCATAAAAAGTGGGCCATATTGTTCATTATTTTCCTACTCTTTTAGAGAATTATATTTTCAGTCTGTGTCAATTTTTTCAAATCCTTATACTCTCGAAAATAATACTGGCAGTATATCCGTGTTCAATACCTCATCTTATATTTAGTATACTATATATCTTCCCCCCCCCCCCGTATAATTCCATCATCATCACTAGACATAGATTTCCCCCGGTATAATTCCATTATCATTATTAGTCATAGATAAACCATTTGTTCGGAAATTAATCGGTTAGCAGCATGATTCATCTTATTAGTAATTCATTCGGGACCAGGTGGTAAGTCAAGACAGTGTTATATTAGATGTCATCATGTACGGTTGAATTTTGTGATAGACATTGAAAAATACGCGAAGGGAATTATTTATCGTTCCAAACGGAGTGTTTTCTGAAAAATGAGTGATTGTTATGTGTTTTTGTATCCCTCATTCAATAATTCATATCGCGATTGTGTGTTGTTCTGGTGTTTCGTGTGTGAAAAATCGAAAATTCCAAACAATGGAATTGCAGAAATCATTCTTCACTTTTTTCACGATGGTGAGTTATTTTTAATTTTTTTATTGTGAGTGTTAGTATAATCTGATAGGTGATAGGTATTTTGAGCCGATACCACTCGATACATCTAGAAATTTTAGAGTAGTTTATTTTCACTACGTGTGACCAATGTTGCGGATCATATACGTATTTTTTGTGAGATATGAATGTGATTAGAACAAACCCGAGAAAAATTTGTCAATCCATATCGTAGAAAGTGGGCACGATTCTTTTGACTGTGCTAGGCTAGGTACCGCAACTGCCAATTTTTACCTGTGATTTTTACGGAGAAATTTTCGATGCCGTCAAAATTTCTTTGAAATGGTCACACACGATTTGTCAAACTCTTATTATGTCCATATACTTCGATTGTAAATTTGTCCGGAAATACCCTGTTCTAATTGTATCATTTCCTATTGTATATTATATTTATACCCAGCCCGCTTTCCTGGATATGGTGATTATTCATATAAACTAA